ACTAAAGTTGAGAAATTTTTGCGTTTAAAAAATTCTGATTTCAGACTAAAATCACAAAAATGTTAATATCTCGTTCTGGTGGTACTGAACTACGTTTCATTTAGTGAATCTACGATGGCATTATTGAGATTTAACTCTGTAACACCCTGTATAGACAGACATTTCACCAAATGGAGCACATACCAACAAATGCTGTATCGGTGAGAAACGATTTACAATTTTGTAACAAAGGGTCTAAATTTGAAAAAAAAAACATATTGTACGATTTTTATACTTTCTTTTTTATTATTACATAGTAACTGTCAGAACATACAATAACAACTAAAAATGTCTTAATTTTATTAGTATTGGCATAAAACTGACTTAATTCTACGGATTGATTCACTTTTTAACTTAATCTAGATAAATTGTATGTACACTTTCAATTAAGATTTTTAGTCGAGATCAAAAAGTCAGTGTCACGAGCGGGATTCGAACCCACGACCTTCGGCTAGATACGCCGCTGCTCTACCACTTGATCTATCGTGACCTCGATCCACTTGATCAACTACCACTTTATCTCAACTAAAAATCTTAATTAATTGAAAGATATTAATTGGTCAAGCGGACCACGAAAACTAGTGAATTTAATAAGTTAAAATGACTTAACTTCCCATCTCAACCCAACCTTTCGAATTTTCCCTCCTTTTTGCCATTTTTCAAATGTCGTGTAATCTATTTGATTCTCGGTAACAAATAGATTACACGACATTTGAAAAATGGCAAAAAGGAGGGAAAATTCAAAAGGTGGGGTTGAGATGGTAAGTTAGTGTCCGAGTGGATCGAGGTCACGATAGCTCAAGTGGTAGAGTAGCGGCGTGTCTAGCCGAAGGTTGTGGGTTCGAATCCCGCTCCTGACACTGACTTTTTTAACTCAACTAAAAACCTTATTTCATTGAAAGATATTAACTGGTTAAGCGGACCACGAAAACGAGTGAATGTATATACACTGCTAGTCCGTCATTCGCCAGACCCCATGACGACATCTCATGAGTTAATTTATAGTAAATATTTCAGTTTAGATTTTTATTAGTTCATAATTAATTGAGATTTTAAAGAAGTGTTGGTTTTTACTTTTTTACTTTTCAAACTTGTCATTTTGGCAGTTTAATCTTTGCTAGGTTCATTTTGACTTATTGGACAAAAAAAAATGAAACCTAGGTATGAGGAATTTTAATAATTTCGAAAGTTTATGACATTAAATGAATTGCATATTGCGTTTTTATATATTAAATGAATGGGCGGCAACTGTCTAACAAAATGCCATTTCAATTCTCATTTCATCTCAGTTTTCCTCTCAGTAAATAGACGGTAAATTTCTGTCATTTAAGGTGTATATTTAATGCAAGAATTGGTTCAAAATTAATTACAAACGAATTTTGTCCGATAACGATGAAAACATGTTCTGCAGAAAATTCGGGAAAGGTTCAATCGCTAAAAATATGCTCCTTGTCATCAATTTTCATAAAGTCATGATGATAAATGGATAAGTATATAATTTAATGTTGTTGTTTAGACGGTAAAGCCAAGGTGAGAGGGCGGGTTCCTCGAGAATAGCCTAGTTTAATATGGGCCCTACATAGCCTCTCTCATCCGTTTTCTTGCCACGTGAGATATGGTTTTAAAAAGAAGGCATTCTGCTCAGACGCCTCCGAGACGTCGGCCGGTTTTTTTGTACACGGGGGTGGGGTTTAGGGGGCAAGATCCAATTTCCTGTTAGCCCCCGCGCCTCATTTCCCAGCGATAATAGCCCGAAGGGTGGCAAGCCTCGGAAAAAGGAAAATCAAATTTTCCCGGACATAATCTCGAGAGGCCTGTGACTTAGTGAGGCTCTAATCCAGACATAAACTACCCCTTCACGGTCTTTATTCCTAATACCCGGGCCCTCCCTTAAATTAGAGCCCTCACGGCCATATGGATGTAAGGGACAACCGACCTCCACCCTAGACAAATTAAAGCCCCGACCAAATCCACGACGACCCCGGTTTTATGACGATAAATTCGAGCAAAGCGCGGCTTAATTCCATCCAATTAAGTTTTCGCATTGACTAACTGTAAAATTTCTTTGCAGGAATTTTAAATCAAAGTTAATGAGAAAGGAAAAATTAAAAACAAATTTAAAAAAGACAGGAGATTTTAATTTTATTTTCGGAAATGTTTGCACAAATTAAATGCCAAAAAAATTCCCTTCGATTGAACATTTTCATTAAAAATGTAGGATAAAACGAACACAGAATTGTTATTGTGAAACTTATAATTGAACTTTGGTGTATTCTTCTTAAAATCCCTGTTATTGGGAAAATATTTTTGATATTCTTGGAAAAAGCCATCACCTTGTTTGGCAAATAAAGTTAAAGAAAAAGATTTAAATAAAATTTTAAAATGCTATCAGCAAATTTAGTGCATTATTCAATACATTAGAAACAATTAATCAGACTTGTAAAGTCAATCCTTGTTAAAAATATACTCTTACTAATTTGATAATAACTGAATTTTTTTAAGCCTTCAAAACATATATTTATACAAATGGAATTGAGGAAAATCGAAGGGGAGAGAGAGAGAGAGGAGAGAGAGAGAGAAAGAGAGAGAGGAAGAGGAGAGAGAGAGTGAGAGGAGAGAGAGAGTGAGAGGAGAGAGAAGAGAGAGAGAGAGAGAGAGAGAGAGGAGAGAGAGAGAGAGGAGAGAGAGAGAAGAGAGAGTGAAAGAGAAGCGGATATTTCGGAAGCCGATCATTCGTCAGTTTTAGCATTTCGTACAAATCCTGTCAATGAGGCGATAAAAAAAGGTATCCAGGATGTAAGGAGGTATCTAATCCAAAGTCGGAATCTTCTCCTCCAAACCTCGCTCACTCCATAAAAATCTCAAATGTGTAGCCCACTCGTATACATTTTGCAACCAAGAGCTGTTGCATTGAAAATCCAAATTCTTCTTGACACCAGTTAGTGGCCATAAAGGATAGTAGTTGACTGACTCAGATGGTGTCGAGTCTGTTTCACTTCAAGGTTTAAAATTCTAAACTCCACATTTTGCCAACGTCTACGTGGGGATTTTTTCCCCATGGCAGCTACCTACTAGCCTCTGGCTTTCACTATTTTGAGCTTTCTTTTTGAGGGGATTCCCTAGCGCCCGTGGAAGCCAAAATATGTGTTGCTTCGACTTTTACATATCGTTTTTCATTCTAATCGTTCAACAAAGTTAATAACATAATCTTGACACAATTAATTAATAATTAATTACACAAATAATTAGTTATACAAATCACAATTTTCTCACGATGTTTTTACATAACCAAACAATTATTGAACCCTGTGTGAGTTTACCAAAAGTTTGTGAAAGTTGAATATAAATTCAGTAACGATGAACTAGAAAAAACATAATGTACTTCTGTGCCCAAAACACCATGTTGTTTAATTTCCTATTAAGGTTTTAAAGTAAGATATCCAATTATTGTTGTAATTATTGTTTTGTCATGTTTTAATTGTTTGTTTATATGATAATAAAACAGGCCCTGAAGATGACAGTATAAAACTGTCGAAAGCTCGGCGAAAACCGTAAGGAAGTTTTCTGTTTTGTCCTCTTCCGAAGATCCTCTGAAAAGACTTCTCATAAATTCAGTAGTAATTAATATCTTTCCTCAATTAATTAAGGTTTTTAGTTGAGATAAAAAAGTCACTGTCACGAGCAGGATTCGAACCCACGACCTTCGGCTAGATACGCCGCTACTCTACCACTTGAGCTATCGTGACCTCGATCCACTCGGACACTAACTTCCCATCTCAACCCCACCTTTGGAATTTTCCCTCCTTTTTGCCATTTTTCATTAAAGTCATTTTCTATTTGATTTTATCGTCATATAAACTTGCACTCGGCTGAACATTGAATTTACAAGTGGAATCTTGTTTGTGGAAGAATTTAAGCCAAGCCATACTCGGCTCTTTTTTTCTTAAACCTCGTCAGGCGCCCTGTAACTGTTGACCAGCTCTCGAAAACCTTTTTTACTGTACGATATACTTCATTTTAACTTATTAAGTTCACTAGTTTTGGTGGCAAAAAGGATTCTAAAAGGTGGGGTTGAGATGGGAAGTTGGTGTCCGAGTGGATCGAAGTCACGATAGCTCAAGTGGTAGAGCAGCGGCGTATCTAGCCGAAGGTCGTGGCTTCGAATCCACTTGACTTTTTTTCTGAACTAAAAACCTTAATTAATTGTTGAATATAAAACTAAGTTACGATTACAATAAAAATTCATACAATCAAATTTCATTTTTCTGGTTAACAAATCTTTTATAGTTATTTTTATTCTTACTGAAATATTTTCTTCTTAACAAATAGTCTTCTCACGACAGACATTTAATCAAATTTAATTTTGGGTGACCGATGAACATTAAAACCCAAGAAATATAAAAATCAATAACCGAAAAAGAAGAGTAAAAAATTTTAAAACTTTCCGTTTTTTGATAGTCAGTAATAAGTTGTAAAGACTTTTTAATAAATAACATTGCAACCGTCTTCAATCTGAGCGCAATTGTGATGTCGGTTTTTCGTTTAATATGGTCAGAATGCTCAACATGCTATAAGAAAGGCGGACTGAGATAAGCGGAAAAGCGGATGGAACTGCCAACTTGTTTCCTTTTCACTTTTAATTTTAAATTCTTACATGACGTTTTCCTAATTTTCAAGATTTTAACCTATCGTGACAAAACATTTTTCGTTTATGAACTTCGTTATTTATTTCAGTGAGTGCCTGGAAGGGTTTCAAGACTTGTTGTTGACTTGCATGTTCCCTTTTAGCCCGTTGGAATCCTCTTAGAACTTATTATCTAATTATTTCTGGTTTGTGAATTAGCCGGCATTACAAATTATCTGAAAGGACTTTCTTATTAAGAAGAAATACTTAAACGTTACATTTTAGACCACAAGATTTTACATTTTAAACTGGTTGTAGATTGTATTTACATACTTACATTTTAAAAAAATTTAATACTGGTTAGAGGCATCTGGGCATATTTTAAACAGCGAAAGGCGAGCTCACAGACCAGCCAATGACATTAGCGAAATAGCGAAACGTGGCAGACCGGAAAAGCGCAATACACTACCAACCTCAAGAAGAAATCTCCCTGTAAAAGACAGTTTCAATTACAAAGTACAGTTTTTGAGCACATATTACATAAATATTGGAGGCTGTAGAAATAACGCATTTGTGCTATTAAGCTCTACTACTCCAGCCCATTATAATGAGATAAACAGAAAGAAAGTTTGGGCGGAAATATTTAAACGATATTACCACAAAGGGAATAAATTGGTGCCGTCTGAAACACTAAACCAGCACAGTCATTTCTCACAAATCCTGACGAAGAACAAGTTAATCAAACGTCAGTTATACCGAATCGAGTTTCCGAAGAGCCAGTTTAACAAACAGATAAATTATTGAGCTGGGGAAAAGTCTAGTGAAATTTCACAATACTTTTATCCTCAAAATTTAACATGCGGGAAAAGTTATGAGCTGGAAATCTGTGTATCTTGGCAGGCTTGGGCAAGACCAGGAGATAGTTTTGTCTTAACCCATTTGTAATCATCAAATATGTTTAAACCCATAATTAATATGGGTAAATAACATTTAAACAATAAATTGATAAAATTGATCTTGAGATCTCTTTATTTTGAAATAAAATACTAAAAAATGCATGTTTACAGATGTTCAAAATGCCTTCCGTGCTGCCTAATGCGCGCTCTGGTTCGTTTTTTCATTTGTCTAACGGTAACTTTTGTAGTTAATTTGGTCTTGCAAAATCGGGCTCCCTCTTCAATCTTTGTCTGTAATTCATCTACAGTATTTACGGGCGTTTTGTACACAATTTCCTTCAGGTAATATAACATTGCCCGGTGGTTTAACACCAATCTATTTCTCTTTTTGTAGTTTCAAGGTTCTGTTACACTGCTGGAGTTCGAAACAAGTTCTCCTCTCCTAGTTTACCCCAACCCGGCGAACGATGAAAATAAATAATAAAATAAAAACTAAATGAAAAGTCCTCTTCTGTATACGTTAATTTTACACAATTGAACAAACCAGGTTGATTTTACCAATGAAGGGTTGACGTTTTTTACACTTTGAGTACACCGTAAGAAAGTTTATTAAATGAAGAAAGTCTTATGATGTTTGGCACCCCTACAAATATGTTGAAAAAGTTATTATTGGATATTTATCAAAACTCACTATTCGTGGTCCGCTTGACCATTTAATTAAGGTTTTTAGTTGAGATAAAAAAGTCAGTGTCACGAGCGGGATTCGAACCCACAATCTTTGGCTAGATACGCCGCCGCTCTACCACTTGAGCTATCGTGACCTCGATCCACTCGGACACTAACTTACCATCTCAACCCCACCTTTTGAGTTTTCCCTCCTTTTTGCCATTTTTCAAATGTCGTGTAATTTATTTGATTCATTAGCATTAGTGAAGATATACTTCATTTTAACAAGAGAAAAAACCATAATTTATCAAAACTTTCTCTTTTTTAAAATTTGTACTTTTGGGTTAAATTAATAAGCATACATCGGCGATTGACAAGATTAAAAATATCACCCTCTTGTGGGATTTAATGCAGAATTAAAAAATAGGATTAACATTGGAACAGGTGCTCTACATCCTGAAAACAGGTCGGGATTTTTGGAAGAAAACACGTAAAAATCCATAACTTCCGACCGGATTGAGATAGATCAGTTCGGTTGGTTGGATCTTACTCTATTTAGGATGTACTATAACCCAATTTTTGTTTTCAGATCATAATAGCTATTAAAAACAGGGCAATTTTCTTATATCAGATCACATAGAAAGCGTCGCAAGGAACCTTAAATTAGATCCATTTTTTCAGAACCAGTTCGTACAGTTTATTACTGCAATTGGAAATAGTAATGTATGTATTAGTACAATCGATGGTATATTGATAATAGTTCATTAAAATTAGTCAGAAACTCGTGCGAACTCTACCGCCAATTTGAAATAAAACAACAAATTCTTTGTCTCTGTAGGTTTATTATACTTAATACTAAACAAATTACTAAATAACTCTTGTGGTCTGCGAGCTGTAAACCTTATCATGTTGGTCTGCCTATCTTCGCTGATTTTTGTTGGTTCAGACGCGTTTCGGCATATCGCCATTCTGTGTTTGGGTGTAATTTTTTAAATAATTTTTCAATATTATCTTTTAGAAATGTGTGGTATTAGTGACCGTTTGTCGATGATTATTCAGAAATCGTGAGATGCGGTCTGGTGTGATGTAGGTTTCAGAAAAACATTTTCTTTATCGTACCAACGTTTCAATCTTTATTGAGATCATCATTTATAAATCTCAGGTCCAGATGATTATCTCAATAAAGATCGAACGTTGGCACGATAAAGAAAACGTTTTTCTGAAATCTACATCACACCAGACCGCATCTCACGATTTGTGAATAATCAATATTCTCTTTCTTATTTATCATCAAAACTCTAATTTTCCAGTCAAAATCAGACGAAATAGGTTAATGTACTGTATATAATGTAAAAATGTAATTTAATTTGTACCTGAAATTTGTCAGCGCTTTTATAAATTAATACTTTTACATATGAATAAATTAAAGTCATAAAATAATATGACATATTTTAACCTTATAAATAAGAAAATGCCTATTGCATATTTCACTGTTTTACAGAAAACTTTTTAATTTCTCAGGCTTTTTAAAAAAAGGCAATTAGGATAAATGAAAATATTTCTACTTTCGTAATTATTATCTGTTATATGTCTTTCATTTTCTTCGGTGGTTTATCTACAAATAATGTGGAAATGTAATTTATTTAATAATTAAATTACCTATGAAACGTCTGATACCTCTGCTTAAAGAGAAAAAATTGTTAATTCACTACTTTCGTGGTCCGCTTGACCAATTAATACGTGACAATTAATTAAGGTTTTTAGTTGAGATGAAAAAAAGTTAATGGCACGAGAGGGACTCGAACCCACGACCTTCGGCTATATACGCAGCTACTCTACCACCTGAGCTATCGTGACCTCGATCCACTCGGACACCAACTCCTCATCTCAACCCAAGCCGAAGGTCGTGGGTTCGAATCCCTCTCGTGCCATTAACTTTTTTTCATCTCAACTAAAAACCTTAATTAATTGTCAAGAAAAAATTGTGTTCGACTGTTTTGATTCGTATTATTTTTCGAATTATAACAATTAAGTCCACAAGTATTAGACATTTCGTTAAGTTTGGCAATTTCGCTTAGCCTTGTCGTGTTCAAACATTGACCCATTCCTTGAAAATCAACCGTAGTTGTATATAATTATAGTTAATGAAGCATTTGGAAACTGCAGAACACATTTTGTGTTTCTGTGAGGGTCTATGTAGGTGCAGGTTCTTACAACAAGGACAATAAAAACCACAAGCAAGATCCTACAGCATGAGCCGCTGGCAAGGCTTTGGAGGTTGATTAACCTGAAGCGGGCCAGTGAGTTTTTAAAACAGGGCAGAAGGCCTTGAGGCCGCCTCTTTTATCCCTATCCCACAATCCCTAACATTTGAAAGTCATAAAACCATTTTATCCTACCGTTTGATTCAAATTACAAAAATTATGCCAAAGATACTTCTTCGTCATCAAAACTCTTATAGGCGTGAAGGCCTTCGTAAACAATTATGTTGTGAGCGCAGCCGTCGCATTCAGCAGTTGCATCATCGGGTTAAATTTATACTGATTCGTGACCACAATCAACCGCCGTTTTGTGGTCACGTTGTGGTATTAAAGAGGGCCGCCTTGTGCTTAGCAATTGCATTTTCATACCACTACCGAATAATTAAATAATAATTTAAAGTAAAATTTAGTATAAATTCTAATATAAAGATATCATTAAAAGTCAGTTATCTTGTAATATTCCTGGGTTTATGATTGATAATTTTCCTAAATTTTAATTTTTTTCTGCTTAGAAAAGAATGGATTATTATCCACGTTTTAATGTAAAACCTGCAATATGTGTGAAAGAGAGAATGTGTCGATATTCTATTTTTGAACAAATTATTTTAAAAAATTATGAGAGAAAAAATTAATTATAAATATTCGCCTAAAGCACTTATGGATAGTACGATTATGAACGTTGGGTCGTTAAAAAAATAATACCAGATTGGTCACTATAAGATATTATAAGATGTTTGAAACCGCTAACCCATGTTTGCTTTCGTATTGTTAACGTATAATTTGTTGATTTTATTCGTAAATACGTTTACCGCAGCTTTATCATGTTACGAGTAGAATTTATTATTGAAAAATACTCATGGAGGGCAATACAAAAAACAGACATGTGTGTCGACGATTCATTCAGCATCAAAGGTCGTTTGTCACATTGAATCAAACATAAACCTTCGGTAGTAATCTAATAACACATTTTCAATAACTAAAAAAAAAAAAAAATCAAAATGTCATCTATTTCACGAGATTCAAATTATGTACTTTTTTATTATGACATCGTGATGAATATTCTCAATGTTATGTAGCCAATGCTGTGGGGACATACACCATTTTGAAAAACAACGCAACTTTGATTTCGGCAAAATACAAATACACCGAAAAAAATACAAACGCAACGTTCTCGAAATGGTTTTCATTAACATAGACATACTCAGAATTAATTACAGAACAGATACATGCAAACTCAACCGTAACTACACCCATATCAAAAAGCAAATAAACTAATAAACTTAACTTTTATTTCCTTTGTTATCGTCCTTAACTTTTTTCTTAACTTCTTTTCCAATATTGAATAACACCGAATCCGAAATCCAATCCAGAAAATCCCTGTTATCGACTTCCTGTGAGTTAAATAAAATCGCCTATGATCAAAGAAAATTTCTGAGATTTACTGAGTACGCCACCCTGTCACAATCGTATAAAAATAGCAAAATATAAATTCATTTCACAATTGCTCATAACACGAATATGGCATCACAAGAATAGCACCACACTTTGTGAGTATGAAATATGTGGTTCACAGTTTATATTTACATCGGTATTGTATTTTTCCAATTAGCATATGTTATAATTCACCCAGTCCCTGAAGATGACCCGAATAAAGGTCGAAACGTCGGCAAATACCTGACCTACCTCACAAATCCCACAAGAAATAATTAGGCAGGGTGCCGAATTAAAAATAATAGGGATAAAAAAATAAAAAATTGAATGAAAATAAAATAAAGTAAAAATAAATAAGGAACTGTACTAAAGAAAGGGAACTTACCCTTCTTGCTTCGGGTAGGCGGGCGTCGAGGTGAAGCGGGATTTTGGGCCCGAATCACACTTCTCCCTTCCTTGCTTGGCCGTGGGATGCCGAGGAGGGTAGTTTTGGAAAGAATGAGAGAAAGATCATTTTTGAAGAGTGGAGAAAGAGGTAGGCATAGAAACGTGAGAATAGCTCGCATGGAGTACATAAGAGTAACAGCCACCAGAGACCGAAGTAATAATGAATTCATCCTGTCCGGGCTGAAGGAACAACAAACACATGAGGAAAAAAGTTCAAAGTTCAGATAAAACGCTTAACGTCCCGAAAGATGCTCCCAGCGACATCTCGGAATGTTATCAAACAACAACCTGTCACCAAAAAAACACATTTATCTGTGAAGTGAAGTGGGAGAGTAATGTTATGAGAACGTGTATTTGCTTATAAATATATCTATTCATCAAGTTATATATTGTAACCAAAAATTGCAGATTGTAATAAAATATTGGACAAAAATAATAGAATAAAAACAAATTATCATTATTCTAGAAAAAATAAATGTAGATACATTATCGTTTAATTATGTCAGTTATATTTTGAATTTCACATGCAGCTTTCATCAGCCTCAAAAAAATTCACGTAAATTGTAAAGTGGGTTTGTTTGTAGCCATTTACCAATTATTTTTTTATATTGATTTGCAGGTAGTATGGTAAGCTTACTAGCAATTTATTAACATATTGACGTATTTATTATTTATTATTATTATCATTAACGTATTTATTTATTATTATTATTATTTATTTATTATTCTTTTATTACTATTAATGTATTAACTTTTATAAGGTGAGCCAACCGTGAGTGCTCGCCTTAAGCTTATTTTTTTAAATTCACTAGTTTTCGTGGTCCGCTTGACCAATTAATATCTTTCAATTAATTAAGGTTTTTAGATGAAATAAAAAAGTCAGTGTCACGAGCGGAAAGGTGGGGTTGAGATGGGAAGTTGGTGCCCGAGTGGATCGAGGTCACGATAGCTCAAGTGGCAGAGTAGCGGCGCATCAAGACGAAGATCGTGGGTTCGAATCCCGCTCGTGACACTGACTTTTTTAACACAACTAAAAACCTTAATTAATTGAAAGATATTAATTGGTCAAGCGGACCACGAAAACTTGTGAATTTAATAAGTATATAATATATAATTAATATATAAGTATATAATATAATATTATAATATAATATAATAAGTATATAAGTTTGAATGAAGTATACCTTCACTAAAAGCTCTCCGTGGCCATTTCATTTGTCGCCGAAAATCAAATAGATTACACGACATTTGAAAAATGGCAAAACGGAGGGAAAATTCGAGAGGTGGGATTGAGATGGGAAGTTAGTGTCCGAGATGGGTTCGAGATCACGATAGCTCAAGTGGTAGAGCAGCGGCGTATCTAGCCGAAGATCGTGGGTTCGAATCCCGCTCGTGACACTGATTTTTTTATCTCAACTAAAAATCTTTATTTTTTTAGATTATTTGATGACCAAATCTTTGTCAATTGTACTGTTTCAGTTTAATCAAGGAAAAACACTCTTACAATCGGAACCACCTTTCAAACATCTATAAAAATCCGAAACATTGTCTTTTTGTAAATAGACGTCTGTAAGATCAGGCTCAAAATAAATATATTAGAAAATGCACGGGCTAAAGGCAATTTGTTGAATTTAGTCATTATATAAGTTGAGCGGATGTGAACATCGGCTCTGTAAGTAACTGGAGTGGAGGGCATGAAACATTTATGAACCATGGCTTCGACCAAGCATTGACGGTAATATGAGTGCAGTGATTCCGAGGAAGAAAGGTCTCGTCTATGCATCTTTAACAGGCGACGGCTATATGCAAACTCGACAGTAATTTTGTGTGACATACATGATTCCTCCATAGTTTCTTGGTTTTCTGTAAGTGTTCTTCTTTGATTATTTAAGGTTTTTGCTCATTAGAACCTATTGTACTACTATTCGCAAACATAGCGACACTTCCAAAGACAAAATTAAATTCTTTGTGCCAATAAATTAAATATTTTAATTGGTGCTTTCTTTAGAAATCCTTTTTCTAATTGTGATATTATATACTTATTGAAGCACGCGGGTGATGAACGCTTATTTTGGTATTTTCTGATAATTCTGTTTTTCCTTTATTTGCTGTTTTTGACTTAGCCGGTGCCATTTGTATGATGAGTTTTTATTTTTATATTTTTAATGGAAATTCACGTTGTGTTTTTCATTGTTTAGTGGTACTGATTTTAGTCTAGATTTTTGGCATGTAGTTGAGTTGCTGCCAGTTCTTGTGTCTTACCGCCCGAAATAAAACAGTTGGGAGCCAGTCATTTTATTTATTAAACACAAGAATGTCAAAAATAAAGAATGAAACCAAAGGTAAATGAAATAAATAAATATAAAACTCCCTAATCGTTTGGAAAATGTGAACACACTTCTTTTTGCCTCATCTCACAGACGTCCATTTACAAGAAAAAAAAACCATATCCATTTTTATCTGCGATGGAATCGTGGTTCCGTTTTTCCTTGATTAAACTGAAAACAATTTACAAAGATTTGGTCATCAATTAATCAAAAAAATAACTGAAGGCGAGCACTCAGGGTTTGTACGCGTTAAAAAAAATCAACTTTTGATTTGCTAATTATTGATTATCCATTATTATACATTCCGGTCCTAATTGACCTAATCGTGTTTCTTGTTGTGTTTTTTTAATGAGCAATAGTAAATTCGGCAATTCATTTATTTTACATTATCGTTTCCTTTACCATATTTATTTATACTCGATAAGTCGCGTCATCATCAAGCGGGGAACACACTTACCCGATGCAACGCTAATAAATTAAAAAAATTGTTAGTTAAATTTTATGAGCAAAACCATGAAATAAATTGTTAGTTAATCAATAAATGGTATTCCGGTTTTTGATCGATTTTCTGCCAAACTGTTAATATTACAATTAATTAAGGTTTTTAGTTGCGATAAAAAAGTCAATGGCACGAGCGGGATTCGAACCCACGATCTTCGACTTGATACGCTGCTGCTCTACCACTTGAGCTATCGTGACCTCGATCCACTCAGACTCTAACTTCCCATCTCAACCCCACCTTTTGAATTTTCCCTCCTTTCTGCCATTTTTCAAATGTCGTGTAATCGGGTTGGATTCTCGACGACAAATGAAATGGCCACGGAGAGCTTTCATTTCATTTTTAATCATTAAATTCACTAATTTCGTGGTCCGCTTGACCAATTAATATATTACAATTAATTAAGGTTTTTAGCTGAGATAAAAAAAAATGGCAAAAAGGAGGGAAAGTCAAGAGGTAGGGTTGAGATGGGAAGTTGGTGTCCGAGTGGATCGAAGTCACGATAGCTCAAGTGGTAGAGCATCGGCATATCAAGCCGAAGATCGTGGGTTCGAATCCCGCTCGTGCCATTGACTTTTTTATCTCAACTAAAAACCTTAATTAATTGTAATAAAAATAATATCAAATGAAATCAAGGAAGAGAAAAGATTAACAGAAAGCGATCATTAGGCATAGCAAATGGAAGGGCATAGTCCTACTTTTTGTGCAAATGGGATTAGAAGGTACAAAAGTAAATAAAAGAAGTAAACGAAGCATTAGTTACTTTTATTTTGTCTAAGATAACTCCTAATTACCGCTAACTAATGTAGAAAGATAAAGGATTTAATTTTCAACTAAATAAATTCAGTACATTAGTATATTGAAATATTTGATCTAATACAGGATTTTGAATTTGCTATTTTACAGTATACTTTACTGTTAGTATTATAGGTGTGTGTGTGTGTGGGTTTTAGTGTGTAATTAGTTAATCATCCTGCAAACCTCGTCGAGAAATATAACTGAATAAAATTAACTTAAAAATCAAACTCCGAACCTATTTCTACAGAAGTGTTATGATCTTTCAGTACAGTCGTCACGGGTTTCTGAATATTGATGAAAATCCCCTTTTTCCTTATGTCAAGGAGTGTTACAAACGGGTCACAGTGTTTTTACGAGGTGCTGAGTGCGCTCGTCGGCACTTTGCGACCTTTTTTTTAACGCCGTTTATTTTCGGAACGACAAAGGCCTCGGTGAAAACGAATTTTTCCCGATGATGAAACAATTTCACGCCGGGCCATAAAGGAAATAGAACGAATTTATGAATAAACGTCACCGGCAGAAGCGGTCCATCGCCAGGAGAACAATGCAAATGACAGAACGAGTCTGAATGAATGTTTTGACAGGTTCGACAGTTGACATAACACGCCCCTCTTTCCGCTAGCACCCTTAAACTGTATTTGGCATGGTAAATGAAAAACCATCCATCGCCGGCCTGAATTCGGCAGAAAGTTTCGAGACCTTGTGACCACGAGAGGCTTTTCCATTCACGCCGTCCCTTTTTGACCTCTCCACCTCTTTCAAATGTCAGGAGAAAGAAAAGCAATTAAATCAAATGAATTTGTCCTTATGATTTCTTCGGTTCTGTTCGGATTATTTCTGCGCCAAAATCTGTTAATAACAATTATTATTATAAAACGGCAAAATAAGAAAATTATTGTTGGAAGACAGAGGGAGGGTAAAGGGGGAACACACCCCATGCAACGCTATGCGACGCTACACGATGCTACCCGACGCCTTGTCACGTTTTGGTAGGGTGTGCACATCTATTCAACCTTCAATGTCAAGCGCACGCCACGTACAGTCTCACACACCATGTATCTCAAATCAGTATCACAATCGCAACGCCTCTTTTGTTCTTAATGCATTATTTTGAGCAAAACCATGTAATAAATTGTTAGTTAAATTTTATGAGCACAACCATGTAATAAATTATTAGTTAAATTTAATTGTTTTAAATAAAGTTATTCCGGTGTTTTGATAAAGTTTCTGCCTAACCATCATAATTAAATAATTTGTAGAAAAACACATGAGCTGTTGATCTCGTTTAATTTGGTTTATACTAAAATAAGAATGTTGTAATTAATACAACGACAAAATTACATATACTTAGTTTGAAATAAACTACAAAAAATATGAGTGTCCTGTTCTGACGTTACTCACGAAAATGGTGTAATTTTATGAGCAAAACGATTTTTTTTTAACTTTTACCTTATAGAGATGAGCGCCGTGTCAACGCCTAAACCGTTGCGGACACCGACGCTCCCAATGGTGTAATATTGTATGAGCGAAACCATGAAATAAACTGTTAGTTAAATTTTATGAGCAAAACCGTGTAATAAATTGTTAGTTAAATTCATTATATCAAAAAATGGTATTCCGGTGTTTTGATCAATTTTCTAACAAACCATTAAAATTATTATTTTTTAAATAAAAACTAATGAATTTCTGATCTCGGTTAATTTGGTTTATATTAAAATAAATATGTTGCAATTAATATAACGAACAATAATGCCTTTAGTTTGAAATAAAAATATGAGTCTCCGGTTCTTTTGTCTTCGAATGTATTCGATGCTACCCGACGAAAATCTGGCAGAGGGGATTAAATTACTTATTTACATTTGTTTGGACATTTCACGACATGTGAATTTATGTATGAAAAAAATGCTACCACATGGTTTTCAATCCTACTTTAATATAAAAAAATTAAATGATTAAAACATAAAAAAAATAAATAAAAAAACATTTGAGAAGTAAACAGACTTATAAAATCCAATTTTTTAAATTCAAACAAGAACTAATAAATTGGAAAAATTGTATGATGTTAATGATTAATTTTCTTTAGTTAATAATTAATTTACTTATTGTAATGCTATTAATTACTGTTTATTTTGACCAAGATAGCTCCAAGATAACTAATGCAGAAAGATAATGGATTTAATTTTTTTACGAGGGTATTAAAAATAAAACAAAAATAAAATAATGTGGATGAATTGTAAAATTTAAAACATTGTACAAAATAATGAACAATAAATAACTCTTTGGTTGAGATGAAAAAGCGTCACGAGCGGGATTCGAACCCACGACCTTCGGCCAATACGCCGCTGTTCTAACCACTTGAGCTATCGTGACTTCGATCCACTCGGACGCCAACTTTTGACTTGGCGCCAACTTTTGACTTGGCGCCAACTTCAAAATCACGATAGCTCAAGTGATTAGGACAGCGGTGTATTGAGCCGAAGGTCGTGGGTTCGAATCCTGCTCGTGACGCTAACTTTTCATCTCAACCAAGACCTTACATATTTCGACATATATTTGTTTATAATCGCATCTGTACTTCCCAGCATTATGAAGTCATCCATGTAAACTCCAATTATTATAATTAAGTTGTTTCCCCTTTCGATGAAAATAAGTGAGCCAGATTTCAATTCTTAAAACCAATTTGTCCCAAAATTTCCCTCAGTTTTACATACCAGCATCTCCCTGATTGTCAAAGGCCATATATACTTTTTCTAATTTCAAACTTTATTGGTTTTATCTTTACCAAATCGAGGAGTATTTCCATGTATACCAGACTGTTGAGAGTTGAATTTGGGTAAGAAGATTTTTCATCATAATAATGTATTTTCCATTTCCTCTTAATCCTAACTGTAAATAGCTCATAGGTTATCATAGATTGTAGTCTACAGCGGGTTTCTGACCGCAATCAACAGCTACTGGGCGATCCTTATTATGATGTATGTACTATGGATACATGAATATATTTCATCCCAGGTTGTTTTCAATTTCATTAAAGATGTCTAATAAAAATACAACATTTCATAACAAACAAACCAAGAATAGCAGAGGAATTTCAAATTTAAGAATTAAAACAAGATGAATTTTTCAAGTCCAAAAATTACAAAACTTTCAGTACTATTAAATTTTCCCAAACTTTATAAATCAATACAGAATGAATTGAATTTCTAAAACAAAAAAGTGTGGAGTGAATTAACCTGGTACATTTAAAAAAAGGGAACTGAAAATTCACAAAACTAGACAGAGAGGGGGGTGGGACAGAGTCCCCTTAACAAACAATAACGCTGGGGAGGTCATTATTATAAATTAAAATAAAATTAACACATCAATGATTGTTGATGTAAATGAATGATTTATTTTTTAAGTAAGTCAAACTTGGGTTAAAAATGATGGTCATTGAGATCTTCAATTAGTAAATTTCTGAAATCTTCATTTTTCTTTGTCTTGAAATGGAATCTATATTTTTAAACCATTTTTGTCCAGTCCATTCCACTAGTTTGACTCTTGTTATGTTTGATATTTTTGATAATTTTACAAATGTTTAACATTTTTATAGGATTTTATATTTTTTTGCAGTGTTACATATTCTATGTTTTACACGGATCCTAGAACAAAGAAAAGTATGTTATCTGGTGAAATATACAATTTTAGAAAAATAATTTGAATTAGGCAGACATATAACAACTGTAATAATAACAATTATAACATAGTTAAAAGAAATGAGAATACTTTATAATTAAGACGGTTAACCGCAAGGAGTCTTGTGAAATTGATCTCATGGACTCAAAAACTTACCTCATGTCGGCCAGCCATTCTTCAATACATTCTAGATAAACTTTTCTAAAACCCAGGATTCGCCAAGTTTCTTCATCATTGCAATGGTCGTGTCTTCAATTTTTATTTTTATTTTTTCAATAGAGTGAGTTTGGATAAATTCGTGTTCTTGTTTATCGGCAACTTCTAAAATGTACAATCAGCATTTACCATTTCTTCATAATGAAAATGTTTAAAGATTAATAAATATGATCCACAATATTGAAATCTATTGTTTCAAGTACGATGAACTTAATAAATTATTGAGATCATAATGATAAGTTGCTGCTGATGATCGCACAACGAATGTTCCAAAATAATTTACTCGCAACAACAAACAGAACCATCCACATAAATCTAATTTATTTGCCACACTTGGCAGTTAAGATGAATTTTGAAATGTTCCACACTTAGAGCATGTTATAATTAATGCATTTATAAGTAAGGGTGGTTTGCATACAACTGTCTTTTGATTTTATTGAATGGGTAGGGATGAAAGCAAAACTTTATTTAATGGGCTTGATTATCTTCGCCCATGCTTATAAATTTTTATTGGGTTGTCTGGAAAATAACGCAGTTTTTCATGTTTTCTTTCAATTACCCCACTATTTAATACACTGTTGATGGATTATTCTTTTGTATGAATATTAACACTTTTTAAAACATGGTACTCACTTACATACTCACCCCACCTTATTGTTTCTATAAATACATTTTATCCTCTTTCAAACAAAAATGTTTGTTTACCTAAGTAGCATTTCGTTACCTGAGAATAATACATTCTTTACTACGATGTCCATGGAAGATTTTCATGAAATTTTATTTTACAAGTTCACTATTTTTCGTGGTCCGCTTGACAAATTATTATCATTCAATTAATTAAGGTTTTTAGTTGAGATAATAAAGTGTCACAAGCGGGATTCGAATCCACGACCTTCGGCTAGATTCGCCGATACTCTACCACTTGAGCTATCGTGTCTTCGATCCACTCGGACACTAACTTCCCATCTCAACCCCACCTTTTGAATTTTTCCTCCTTTTTGCCATTTTTCAAGTTGTGTAATCTATTTGATTCTCGGCGACAAATGAAATGGCCACGGAGAGCTTTAGTGAAGTATACTTCATTTTAATTCGTTAAATTCACTAATTTCGTGGTCCGCTTGACAATTAATATCATTAAGTTAATTAACGTTTTTAGTTGAGATAAAAAAGAAATTGAATTGAAAAATGGCAAAAAGGAGGGAAAATTCAAAAGGTGGGGTTGAGATGGGAAGTTAGTGTCCGAGTGGATCGAGGTCACGATAGCTCAAGTGGTAGAGCAGCGGCGGATCAAGCCGAAGATCGTGGGTTCGAATCCCGCTCATGAAACTGACTTTTTTATCTCAACTAAAAACCTTGATTAATTGAATATTTATTGGTCAAGCGGACCACGAAAACTAGTGAATTTAATAAGTTAAATGAAGTATATCTTCACTAAAGCTCTCCATGACATTTCATTTGTCGCCAAGAATCAACTAGATTACTCAATTGAAAAATTGCAAAAAGGAGGGAAAATTCAAAAGGTGGGGTTGAGATGTGAAGTTAGTGCCCGAGCGGATCAAAGTCACGATAGCTCAAGTGGTAGAGTAGCGGCATATCAAGCCGAAGGTCGTGGGTTCGACTCCCACTCGAGACACTGACTTTTTATCTCAACTAAAAACCTTAATTAATTGAATTTGTTTTACAAGTTTAAACTCTGTCAGAATTTTACTCAAACGGCAAGAAACATCAAGGAAGACTTAGGCGATGGCATTGTAAGTGAGAGCACAGTTCGGAGATGATTTAAAAAATTTCGAGAGGGAGACGTTTAGACTTGAAGACAAAGGACGTGGAAGGATTTCTTCCCTAAATAGTAGGTGTAACATCATTATGTTCTGCGAGTTTTGGCCAAAGAAAATCTCAGAACAATTGTTCAAGAACTAGCAAATTGACCGTTGCAGACCACCTTAAAGCAATTGGAAAAGTAAAAAAGCCTGGGTTTCTCTCGCCAAAAAAATCATTGTTATGAAACTTTGTGCAACACATCTTAGCTAAAAAGAAATGAACCTTTTCTGAATAGAATTGTTACTTAGACAAAAACTAGGACAGTGGCTCAACAAAGGACAAGAAGCACCACATTGTCCAAAGCCCCCAAGTCATAAAAAAAGATGATGACTTTGGATGGCTTCATTTGGGCTAAATGCTACTTAAACCCTGGCCAAACAATCCATGCCAAAATGAATGATGTCAACTTTTTTTTTTCAATGAACCTTGTGCCAAAAATTATTTATTTAATGATGTCAACTTTTTTTTTTTTTTTTTCAATGAACCTTGTACCAAAAATTATTTATTTAATCATTTTTAGGATAATTGTAAAATGTTGACAAAATTCTATTGAGTGATAGAGGGTATTTTCATTAATAAAAAATGTTTAAAATTATTTTTCAATTGTTTTTATTTTATAACCATAAGCCTGCATTATTTTCTGAACAACCCAATAATTCATTTTTTAAAATGAACAATTGTGTTAAATTGGGAAAAGAGGTATAAAAAAACAAGGAATTTTTATATGCCCAAAAATAGGTATTTTATTTCTACTAAGATATTACAATATATTGAAAAAATTTTATTAATTCTTATAAAGAAATCTTTTGGACTAAACATTTTGTTACAAATATTCACTTTTTCGTATGCTTCATTACCCAAACACAGCTCCTACAGTACACACATACATTGAGTTTCCATTGTTCAGCCCCGAATGAAGAAATGAAAAATTGTTCCTGTACAAATAGTTTCAAAATAGTAATGTACAAAATTACTCTCTTTGGTGTACATATGTTTACAATTTGTACAAAATTGAAAATTTCATTCTGCACCGAGAGGAACAATGTTTTTTTGATTTTCCAAAGTTTATTGTTGTTTCTAGTACCTATTGATAATGTTCAGCCCTGTTTTTATATTTCAAAATACATTTTTTAATGCACCCACTTCTGTCATCTCAAACACAAAAATGGAAACATTTAACTTTCTGAGTGTACATCATACAAATTTGTGCTAATTGGCCCATACATCAAACATAGAAACACTGAAAAACAGTTATATATTTTTCCTCAAAATAAGTTAACATATAATGACATTTAAAGCAGGTTATTGTACTGTAAGGCCTATTAAAATAACAGAAAACAATTTTTTAATAATAAAATTAAAATAGGCTCTTAACAATAGTTGTTCACATTTACTTTTTTAAAGAATCTTTAAATATTGGTAACTAATAAAAATAAAATCAATCACTTTATGGGAAAAACAACAGTGAGTTTGCAATTTGATAAAATTGTATGATTTGTACATCCTTGAATTTCTAACAAGCAGTGACACACGGCCTGTTTTAGATTTAAAAGTAGCTGTAACAGGAAACTGCAACTGTGGAAATCAAAAGAAAAAAAAACTTCAATAAAATATCTAAAATTATTAAAAACAAGGAACATATGAAATAAAATAAACAATACTAAAATAGAAATCAAGAAATTAAAATCCCATTTGGTTCATTAAACATAAAAAATGAAGAAAAGAAATTGTGTTGTATAATTTTTGTAAATTACTTGATTGTAAATATTAGTTAAAACAAAACCTGAAAATTTTTGTCTGAATCCAGCAGTGTTCCACAGTTACAGCAAAAAGCAAAATAAAACTAAGAAAACTCTTTGGTTTACTAAACCCTTTCAAGAACTGGCCAAAATTGTCACTTACTTCACAATAGGAATAACAAACAAATTACTCAATATACATATTATAGTTATGCTAACTATATATATATCTATACAACACTGAAAACAATATCTTCTCTTGAATAGAAATTTACATTAGAAAATTTTTGGTTTTGACCCCGTTCAGTGTGGCCTACATCTCAAAAAATAGTGGGAACTCTCGTGATTGCTTAACAAAAATTTAACACTTATTTTTCATACAATAAAGATGCTTTTCCATAGGTCAGCTCAGTATGGTTTGTATGGCACACATCCTCCCATCACGGTTTATCACGTCCTACAGCGAAAGATTGGTAAACAATGAGCTAACGGACAGTCGGTATTAATTCTTCCTTTATTTTTTTTTGCCATCTCTCGATATTTGGTACAATTAGAAAGCAATCTCCAGCAACAAATCAACAACTAGACAGATTGCACAGTGAGCAGTAGTGTGTTTTCATTAACATCTACTAAATTTCTAACACAAAAACTGCTTTGACTATGACACACATATTTTAATAATAACACCATTATACTTTACAATAAGGCTATAAGGCATTTTATAAAACTATTCCATTGTATAGTTTTATTCCCTTTAAAATGAAAGAGAATAAAAATTTTGAATTCTCAGCAGTAATTCATTTATACAAAATAAATTGCTCAAATAAGTACACATAGTCATGAAAAAAGAAAACATTAAGCTCTTTTGCTATAGTAAAAATTCACTATTTCCATGTTATAAAACAACATAAACAGCATAATTATATATATGTATGTAAAAAACAAAAACAATCAAATCCAGAGAAAAATGAAATGAATTACTACTCAGAATTGATAAAAATTTACCCTAGTATCATAATTTTATATCACCCAAAGCTTCTTTTTTAAATTTATTTCTATGAGTTAAAAGAATACTCACATTCAATTGATGTATACCTAAAAACATTTCCACTACATCATAGATTTTGGGGCAGGTATATGTACAAATTTCTTTAGACAGATATTCGCTTCAATTAGATAATTGAACAACTTTACGTTTGCTTGATATGACATCAATAAGATTTTTTCTTTTCTTTTTTTATATTTTTTTATGTCCATGTTTAAAATACCAAAATACATTTAGAGTGACATAAAGACTATACATCATTATTACACCAAAAGCTTATTTCCCACAAGTACCTCAAGACTTTGGTCCTTCAAGTGGATCGAACATAAAACAGTCTTAAAAATAGTTACTTTCTTGGTAACTTACAAAAAACAAGAAAAAAGTAATTCAGTATTTTATACTGGCATTGATACACAGTGTTTATCAACAAACTAAAATAAAAACTGACATTTTAAATGAAATCATTGGTTCATCCGACAAAAATAAATACAATAAAGTGAAAATACAAATAGGGTAAAATAACTAAGTCTTAAACAAAAACAAAAATTTATCAAAAAGAAGGAAACATACATTGGACATTCCTTCTTGAATGTTACTTGCGGTGATTAACTTAGTACGGGCGAGAAGCCTCTTTCGATCTTTTAAGTTGAACTTTAAGGCGTTTTGCACCTATCTGGAACCCATTCATGTTCTGAATCGCTGTCTGGGCACTTATTGGATTCTCATAAGAAACAAACCCTAAAAATCACAAAAATCATTAGGCTGAAAAGAAATGGAACATCATATTTGAATAAATCTCGTTTAAATAATTGTATTGATAAAGAATAGCCAATTTTTAAAACAGACACCACATGCTTCCATCGTACATAAATACATTACCTGAAGGCCTACTGGCTCTAGTAATTGCACAATGACTTAACCAATTAACTTGAAAAACCCAGCAAATAACACAATTGCATTTTATTAGTAAGGAATTTTATTGTGGATGTATAAAACCTGTGCAAGTTTTGTTTATTTGGTGTGTCACTGTTTTATAGATGAATTAATTGATAAATCCAATAAACAAAAAATTATATATATATATATATATATATATATATATATATATATATATATATATATATATATATATATATATATATATATATATATAAAAATTCACTAGTTTTCGTGGTCCACTTGACCAATTAAAAAATTGAAAAATGGCAAAAAAGAGGGAAAATTCAAAAGGTGGGGTTGAGATGGGAAGTTAGTATCTGAGTGGATCGAGGTCACGATATCTCAAGTGGTAGAGTAACGGCATATCTAGCCGAAGGTCGTGGGTTCGAATCCCGCTCGTGACACTGACTTCTTTATCTCAACTAAAAGCCTTAATTAATTTTAAAAAATATTTTAAATTAAATAACAATTATGAAATGTAAATTTTCATTCATAAAACTATGAATAGATTATAAAAGGAAAAGTAATTAGTTATAAACACTGCATAGAATGTTAATTGAATGTCTGATGTTGCACACATACAATTGAACAAAAAATAAAAATTGACTTTTCTTTTTACTTACTTAGTTCCCATATTTGAACAATTTTATTATATTAATATTTATTGGCTTGTTTAGAAGGAATATATTGAAAAAAAAAATACAATGTAGGTCTACATTTCACCTCTTCTCCCACAATCAATTATTGATACATTCATTTTTTTATTACACTACAACTAAATTTTTGATTTAAAAAAATCATGTAATTGTTTGTTTGTTTTAATTAACCACAAAATACAATTTATTTAAGTAGTTAAAAATAAATAAAATAGGCAAAGTGCGGAAACAGCTTCAAAAGAAATATCTATCCTCTAAACAAACCAAAAATATAATAATGTAAATACAATCTACCACAAAACGTTTTTCAAACCATCTTTTTATTAAACTAATTTATTCTTAAGCTTACACGTTACAACAAACATTATTTATGGTCAACATCATATTCATTCTCTATGTTAGTATGAAATTATTTATTTAGTAAATTTTACACAGTTTACCAAGTTTCACATAGATTTTGTATATTACATTTGACCTATGAAAATCATTTCCTCAATTTTTTTTAAATTCATTTGGTTGTTATTTGATTTTTTTAATTTACAGGTGAAGGTGTTACTAACCTTTGAACTAGTGATCTAATAAACAAATGTACACATTGACTTCCATGCTTATCTATGCATTTCCGATAATATTAGTTTATTTTTATTAGTTGGCTGAGGTCATTTTTGCAATTCACATATTTTCATTAAAACTAACACTTAAAGTTAGATTCAGTCATGCAAATAAGCAATTCACATAAAATTGTTGTCATTTCCTACTTTAACAATGAAACAGACAATAAAGTTGATGCATTGATAAAATTAACACTTTCATTTCTTGCAACTGGCTTTGATTTTAGTTTAATTTAGTTTTGTTTTCATAACATAACTAAACATAACTCAAATATATAGGAGAGATTCACTAATTTCATGGTCCACTTGACGAATTAAATCATTACAATTAATTAAGGTTTTTAGTTGAGATGAAAAAAAGTTAATGGCATGAGCGGGATTCAAACCCACGATCTTCGGCTAGATACGCCGCTGCTCTACCCTTGAGCTATCGTGACCTCGATCCACTCAGAGCTAGCAGACCATGAAATTAGTGAATTTAAAGAATTAATATGATGTACACTTCACTAAAGCTCTCTGTGGCCATTTCAATTGTCGTCGAGAATCCAAACTGATTACACGACATTTGAAAAATGGCAAAAAGGAGGGAAAACTCATAAGGTGGGGTTGAGATAGGAAGTTGATGTCCAAGTGGATCGAGGTCACGATAGCTCAAGTGGTAGAGCAGCGGCGTATCTACCGAAGATCGTGGGTTCGAATCCCGCTTGTGCCATTAACTTTTTTTCATCTCAAATAAAAACCTTAATTAAAAAATAGGAGAGAGTAGATCCAAAAATAGTACTGTTCGGTCAGACAGCATATGTAATAGCGTCAATTGGAAATGCAACAATTCCTAGGGATCCCGTAATACTGATGATCAAATTAATTCTTTGAACTTGAAAGCAGACTCAAAAAAAGTGGGCTTGATATGGGCCAAAGAACATTAATAACAAATTAAATAATGCTGTCGATAAACTGACCAAGACTGTTGTGCGGGACTGAAATTTGACTAGCTACAATGTAGGGGCCCATTTGGAGGCATACTATAGGCAAAAATGGCAACGTGATTATGAAAATTTAAGTAGGATAAAAGGAAGGCATTTTTCACTGATCCGACCTCAGCCAGGTATGGTTTAAAAACAAAAAATTTCACAGAAAAAAGATCACGGTAATGATTAGACTCAGAAATGTGTGGTGATTAGTGACACTGTTAATCGATATTTATTTAGAAATTGCGAGATGCGGTCTGGTGTGATGTAGGTTTCAGAAAAACATTTTCTTTATCGTGCCAACTTTATATATTCAATCAAAAATATTCAATATTTTGCATTGTATAAATTCACTTTTCCACATCCAAAATGTAATTGTAATATGTAAACAATGTTTGTAAATCCCAGGCCCTGAAGATGATCTCAATAAAGATCGAAACGTTGGCACGATAAAGAAAATGTTTTTCTGAAACCTACATCACACCAGACCGCATCTCACGATTTCTAAATAAATTAGACTCAGATTTGGTCATAATTGTCTCCTGGAACATCTCAGGAGACTTGGTGTTATGGAGACCACCATTATAACCCTGCCCCGAGGAATATCAAGTACTCTGGCGTGAGTGTGTAAGAAGTCTGGAGTGTAAAAGACGTTATTAGCGAGCATGGCATGGGTTTGACCCCGCCATGAGGAATTCGAGTACTCTAGCTTTGAACGGTGAAGTATAACATCCCTGAATTCTACTTTATATAATTATTACTGTTATCACACAATACTCACATTACATAATTATTACTGTTATCATTCACAGCAAATCAAAAACTAAAATTACACCTTTACATTTAAAAAAAAAAAAAAAAAAAAAAAAAAAAAGTACTACTCTAGGTTCTAACATAATCCTTTTGAATTGTAGATAATTCTTTGAAAAAAAAAAAAAAAAGTATAAATGTGTTATCTTATTTAATAATATGGATGTGTGTGCGCGCACGCACTTGCATGCACTCATGTGGAGACTTTCTAAAATAACATTATTATTTAAAGATAGATTTTATAATAAAAATACAATTTTTTTTATATTTTACATACATTGAACTGGTACTAACAGTGTGCTAAAGTTCACATGTAAAGATGTTAAAAATCAATGGAAGTATGTATATATAAAACGATAAATGTAGAAAAACAGTTTATACTACAAAAGAAATTACATTTCCCAAACGTAGGAAAAATAAATCCATCCCAAAAAGGATTCCATGCCACAAAACTTAAGGAAATATTTGCTGGATTCAACAAGTCTTTGTAAAGTATCATAACATATTTTCTATTATAAGAAAACACATTTCATATCAATTATTTCAATTCAATCATGCTTCGTGTCACACAGAATCGAGTCTGATTACTTGTCAAGTTTGGGTGTGATTTGCTATAATTGAAAATTTAAAAGTTTCTCAATTTTTTTTTTTAGTAAATGAAAATCACATCAAAACAGTCTGTGTATGCTTGTCAGTGTAATTTGAGGGTTGTGTTTTGGAGGGTAAAACACTTAAGGATAAACATATATGGGTTTAAACACACATTCACAATTATTAATGTCACATACATGGAATTTAAAGAGAAATTGGAACTTGTTCCTCTAAGGTAAGAAGAATGCCTTATAATAATGTTTAATTTGCAGATAAAAAAAATAAATAAATAAATAACCAAGTGTATGAATAATATTAGAAAAATTTCTTTTTTCATGTTGAATAAAGTGCAAAAATTTTACACATTGAATTATAATAATAATTAAAAAAAATTAAACTGTGATCTTTGAATAACATCAAGTCCAACAAAAACCACAGTAGTAAGTTAAGCACAAAAAAGTTTGTACCAGGCGTTTGTCATAATAATACATTTTATAAACATACCGAAACATTTAGATAATTTGGTACTTCTGTCAATGAAGACTTTTGCCGATACTACAGTACCAAATGGGAGAAACGTTGCGGCAAGATCAGCATCACGGAATTCTTGTGGTAGGTGGTATATGAACAGATTTGCTCCTTCTGGGCCCTCTATTTGTTTGCCAGCAGATCCTTTCGAAGCTAAAACACCCATCATAATATGTCACAGGTTACCAACACTCACTTTCAGAATTGGTACCTTTTTTTTGTTTATTTTACAATTATGTACTCTTGGTATCCACTGTGTTACTCTCTGGATTTTTTTATTTTTTATTTTTTTGTAATGTTCTTTTTAATCGAACATTTAAAGGCATTCATGCATATAATATAAACACCCTATTTTCATTTCTTATAAATTTATGAGTTAAATCTTAGAGGAAACAAGGAAGGTTGGACAACTTGAGAATGGAGTACACGCCACAAAAGGAATAGTTGTGTTGCAGTATTTACTAATGTTGTATACAGTGATATAATCAGTATTTTTGTCTTTGTCAATGTGTGGCTAAATTTTTGAAGATTTTCCCTTTTTCAACTAGAAAATAAAATGCTGCTTAAAAATGAAATTAAAAATAAAGTACGCTATTAATAAATTATATATATTTTTTGCAATTTTTGTGAAATAGAAAAAATTGGTTTAATATCAAACATTATTTTGCATATTAGTGCTTTTGTTATTAATTTAGTAAAAAGCAGGCACCAAGAGTACAATTCAATAGCACTAAATACAATAATCAATTTTAAAAAGCAATCTATTAACTACTACTTAATTTGGATAGAAAAATATCAGTTTGGTGTATTTCAAAAAATATTGTTATCCATTCAAATTTCTTAAAATTCGTTCTTAAAAAAAAATAAATAAAAATAAATAAAATAAAATAAATTCAAGCTAATAAAAAATTGAATGCATATAAAAATTCTAAGATCAACATTAGCTCATACTTGTCATGCTAGACATTCTGTTTTAGTAATAAAAGCAAATTTGTTTCTTCAAATAAATGTAATCAAATAAAAAATAAAATCTTTATGGTATACTAAAAAATATTTATCATACATGTTAGTCTTTCAAATGAAAAAAAAAAAAAGAAGTAAAATGTGTAATTTCATATTTTTTTAACCACATTGTTGTTATAATACTGCAACAAAAATCATTTTCACAAAAATTGTATTTATTTAGTCTCAGTGGGGCGTTTCCAAGGACGGACAAAACAAGACATTTAACAACTTATATTATCTTTAACTAGATAGAAAAAAAAGTGTATAACCTTGTAACTTGGGCATACCGGAAAAATGCTGGTAGGCATCTGAAACTGACAAAGCAGTTGGGCCATAGCCATTAAGTGAACCCAAAGCGCTCAACGCTGTGGGTGTACCTGAGAACAGTATAAAAATGCTAGGTTTAAGAAGAAAATTTTTTATTCATTAATTATTTAAAACTAAATTAAAAACTGATTTTTTAAATTAAATTAATTTTTTCCGAGTTATTTTTCAATTGCAAAGTTAATAAGAGATTCATGTTTTTGACAATGCAGGAAGGTATTAATGGTTCAAATTTTAGAAATGTAAAAAAGTAAATTATCATATTTCATTAAAAAAATTTAATAAAAACTGTCTAGCATTACAGAAATAAAACAGAGAATTAATTTTTATACTTACATTCGTGGATGGATTTTTGAATGCAAAATATACATATATATAGATTACGTCTCAATTATTTTCGATTTCACCTCAACTCATTACTATTACCCCATTAATTGAACAATATATTATTTAAGATTTTGCTATAAAGTTTTTGTGCTAATTTTAATATTTTTGTTTTTATCTAGTACTAAAGTTATTCAAATAGCTTTTTTTTAATGTTCAACCCTCTGTGTAGTATACAGTAATTATTGAAAGACATATGGAAGAAATTTAAACATTTTATTTTAAATTTAAAAAAATAAATAAAAAATAAAAATAAATAGAAGTGAAAAGTACTTTCTATTAAAATCAAGTGCAAGCTTATTCAAAAATTATTAAATAAATATTCTTACAAAAATCATGCTCAGTAACTCAATTAAAAAGTAACAAACACTTTTATAAACTTTGTACAATATGCTTTCTTAAAAAAACTAAATTTATTTTCATGTTTTAGGAAAAAAATTCAAAATTGACCATGCAATGCAAGCATGCAGCATTTTTTCCTTCTATTTTATAAGTGTAACTGTTAAGTCGTTGGAAAAAGTCAATATTGCCAAAACACATGCGTGTTCTCGTTATACTTATTGACATTCCTAAATAAGCACTGTCTTTTCTTTACTCAGGTATAACTCACCAGATGCTGCAGCTTTCCCGAGAAGTGCTACAAAGTATTGTAAATTTTAATTTGCATTGCAAAGCGAGGAAATTGTATTGAAAATAAAATTTTCACATCATTTTTGTAAAAATACTCTTTAAAAAATCTTTATATTTAATTAAAATAAACATAAACTATACTTACAGGCTGCAGTAGTTCCAGCCAAACTAGACAATGCTGCAACAAAATCAACTTTTTATAATTTGGTTATTGTATCAATATAAAATAAATTTAAATGTTATTTTTTATTTTTTTATTTATTTTTGTAATAAGCTGTATTTAAAAACATAATTTATGGACATTATTTCGCAAACCTAAACTATAAACATTAAAATTTTTATCTTTGAATAACAAGGTTTAAAATGCAGAATTGCTAACTTTGTGAAAATTAAGCAGGAAAAGATTGCTAATCAATCTTCATATTTTAATCATTCATATGAAGTGAAAATCAAAAGTGTTAACAGACAAATGAACTAAATTTTAAAATTGTAGTATTTTTTCTATACAAAATAATTAAAAAGTAAATTGTAAACCCAAATACAAAATTTACTAGCCAATAGTGAAAAAAAATATCTTTAATTAATTTTACAGTAATTTAGAACTGTTTAACTTAATGAAAATTCAGCAGGAAAGAAATATTTGTTAAGTTTTAATATTTTAAACAACATAAATGCAAAATTTCCAGAAACACTTCACTACAGAAAGCAAAATGTTAGTGATTTACTTTAAAATTGTAATATAAAAAAAAAAATAACCAAAAAAGTGTATATATCAAAACTGATAACCCAAACCAAACAATATACAAATACAGTTTTTTCCTCAGAAAACCCTATACAATTAAAAAGAGTCCAGGGCAAAAACAGCATATTAAAAAAACTGATGAAATTTATTTTTCAAAACAAATGTTTTAGTAACTGAGAAATAATAAAAAAATATATATATAAAAAATCAGATAATTGAAACGAGAAAAACCAACCAATAAATAAAGTTTAGAAAAAGACCATTTTCTTAGAAAGGTTTGCCAGAGATGCACAAATATTATATAATTGTTTGTGAGACTTAAAAATACATATCTGAATATGAAATGAAAGACTGTAAAATTGGAGAAACTACGTAAAAACAAACAACACAAGCTGCTACATGATGATATTAACATATATTTCCTTTTAAGACTTTTATTGGCTTAAAACAACACAATGGCAGAGCTTGATTTGAAACATTCATTGCTCTCCGATTTAGATCTAACTTTATGTTTAAATTACATTTATAGATTTAGAAATAGATGTAACAGAACAACATAGTAAAGAAATAAAAGAAAACTATTTCTGTATTTTTGTAGTTAAGTTATTATTTCTTGCATTTTTGTTAAAGTATTATATAAAAACAATGCCTAATTGAAAATTTCAAGGTTAAAAAAAGACTTATTATCACAGCCCTTCTTAAAATTGGAAAACACTAGAAATTCAGTTGTTCACCTACATAAATGATAGAAATAATTGATTTAACAAAATTAGCTGGTTATTTAAAAGTAAATCAACAATAAGCAATAACTACATTAAAATAAACTGAACACATGAAACATTTTTAATGTTTTAGTATCAAAAAGTTAAGTTCATACAAAAGGTTATGAAGCAAAAGTAAACTACTTAAATAAGTTGGGATATTTTAAATAATCTTGTACCTGCTATTAGAAAAATTAAATTACAGTTTACGAAATAGACAAATAGTTATAAATTTTACAGTTACAAGATTTGTGATTAAAAAGCATACAAGACTGAGACCATACAAGAATGTATGAGCATCACTAAATACAGTAAAGGTTTTCTGCTAAATAAATGACTTAGTATCCAAATCTAATGAGATTTTGAAAGATTCGCACAAAGTATTTTTCTTTTGACAAATCATGGTCAAATGAGGGAGAATTTCTGAGTTGGGTACTTTTATTGCATCATTAGATAAAATAAATATAAACCATTATTAAAATGTATTTATTTATCATTGCCATACAAGGGTTATCCAATGTTATTCAGATTGTCCTTACATCCAATAAATAAATGAACTATGCAGTATTGAATTTAATTCCTTTTTGATCGAGGACAGAATTCAGCCCCAAAACAACAAATTCCCAAATTCACAAAAGCACTAATGATTTGAGCATGCGACAATGACTTTACACAAGTTGAAAATGTACAAATGAAAATTGAAGAGAGATATAGAAGAAATGACATATTCGAATCATGCTTCAGCCAGAGATTTCTTAACGACAGTTATGAAAATGATTAGTGGGACTATAGCAATACCCATGTTATCCCGCAAATAAAAACATATTTGAAAAAAAAATCACTACTGCACAGCTAAAGTTGAAACACACAAACTAATATTGAACAAACCTGGACTACTCAGGCTAGACGAACTGGACCCTATAAATAAAAAAATATTGGTAAACACAAAAAAATATTTAGAAAATTAAAAAGCAATTTTGACGTCGTTTTAATTACCATTTTAATAACAACCTTTCTTAATCTAGTCAAACATGTAATTTTTTTCAAAATAGAATTTTTGCATTTCATAAAAAAAGGAAGTGTTTAGCAATTACCATTTGGTGAAACTGCGCCTGCACCAGTCATTGCAGCAAGAGTAACTAAGTTCTGCATGCTCATTGGTGTTCCTAAAGAAAACAAATCAATACAAATTAAAACGAATTAAAGTTAAAGAAAATCAATTCAATTTATTTATAAAGGATTTAATACGCTTCAAAGACTGAAAAATGTGTCCCAGGCAAGAGAGAAACACTGCATCCACAAACCATACACATACACACCTACACGACACAAGCACATCAACATTATATTATACACCCTAAGGTTACCGATCCTAGGACAATTTATCCTGGGCAACTATTTGGGGTGGCGGGTTTGGCCGGGTACAGTGGACCTTCCTGGGCTGTTCCATGAGCTGAACGGCTCATGGGAAGTCTGAGGGGTGTGGTTGGCTGCACATCCCTCCCTCCCAAAGACCCCAGTAATAAAGATCAAATTATGCTTCACTGTGCTCAGTCCTGGGAGACTGTCCTGGCTGGTGGCACACCTTAGGGTTACTGCCCATAGAAGACCTCTCTCACATTCTTACAACCAAGACAAATTCCCCAGGCCAGTACCCTTTGGGTGAAGCGAGTGAAGGGTGTGCCAGCTCTAAAATGGCCGTCCAACTGGCTAGCTAGGCTGCAGGGATTAACACTCCCTGTAGCCAAAAAAACAATGTTACAAATCTTAAATAGAAGCCGTAGATGCGGAAGGCCAGATGCCGGTGGAGACCGTGGTAAAGGCTGCATGGACTCTGTAAATCAGCAACTCTCCACTAGTGGGGATAGGAACACCAAGCATGGACAAGGACTTAAGACTGGATACAACGAATGGAGGCTCATGTCCTAAGAGAGGTAAAGAGTGGACAAGGGTGAGATGTTGGAGCTGTATGTCCTAACATCTCCAACATCACCCACCCAGAAGAGATGTAAGAAAGAATTGAATACAACTGAAATACAAAGAAACAAAAAAAAAAAAGATATCATAGGGATTCGGCCTGTTTGGTATCACCCTAATGGCTGACACTTTTGGGACAAGGTACAATATGTAATTCCATGGAAGGAGGGTAATGTTACAAGCAAAAATGAGAGGGTAAAAAAAACTTTTTTTGCACTGGGGTGACTAGACTTGGGCAGAGACGAGGGTGCGCTCGGCAAGGTTGAGTGAGGCCTGGAAGAGGCTGAAGACGCGCGGGTGGCATTTGGAAGCTGAAGGAGGCCCATTCACAATACAGAGGACATTGATATTTTACTTTCTTGTTGTGTTTTTATCCTGTCATTTCACCCCGAGGGTTTCACTGTTTTCCAAAAAGAAGGGAAAAAATATAAAAACAGTGTGGCACCCAATTATTTTGCTTTTGGAGACGAAGCGGCCACGGAAAAAAATCTCCATTGAGACCCAGGTCCGGCGAGGAACCGGTAACAAATTGGCGCCCAAACAGAGACTTTTAACCTTTTTCCGTGGAACTCTTTTCACGTGCGTGTATGTGCGCAAATCAAAATGTCGTTCGATGTAAACCGGTTGGCTAAGGATGAACACAGGTATGAGCTCGCCATCAGAGGAGCTGAACACAGTTTCATTCCCGCATACTCGATCATCCTAAAAAGGACTCTGAGGATCTTTAACGTCCACACCTAGCCTATTCGGCATTATCGGACATTCTGATTCTCAAGATGAGAGCTGACACACCTCCGCATACGACAGAATAGTGTTACTGCCGCAGCATTGGTGTAGGGGGAGCTCAGCCCCGAAGGGACAAGACAACCTCGCTCCCCGCTTGTCCATTCCAAATGGCCGGGTTTGCATTGAGCATCAAACCGTATGCCGCACGCAAGTTTTATGCTACCTAAGCTGAAATACATCAGCCCGGTCTCCCGCGCGCTCCCTAGATAGAAAAGGCCACTCTATCTCCCAGAGTATTGGGGCTTTCCTAGCGTAGAAACTTTTGGATTCGCTCCAGCGATGGTTTTGTTTTAAGTGTAATATCTACCACCCCCTAGAGGAGCACCGCCTACGGTAAAATAACCTCCTGTCGAGCTCAGCCTACACCTGCCATGCGCATTCGAGGGACACCATAGGCTCGCCTAGGTGGTCCGATCCTTCGCTTCCTCAAGGGTACCACGCCGGTCATACGCACAACAGTGCAAAGCATACTCGAGTAGGAGAAACCGATTCACTACCCATTCCCATCCGCTACTGCTCACGCATTCGAGGGACTATCCAGCATAATCATCGCGCCCTCAACGCCTATATGCTGCCGTCCGATGCACCGTATCCCATGAGGCGATGGTCATACTCAAGTTTTGTGCGAAGGTCACAGATAAAAGACAGCCTCTTCTCTAAGTTCCCGCCAGAGGTGCCACCACAAGCCACCACGAAACCATTCCTCACTGTAAGAAGGGCTGATTTTTGGAACGTTTTGTTACCCTGTGGTACATGCACCCTCCCCTGTCTTTGTAGACAGGAGCTAGTACAGTGACCCTCGTGTGCCTCTGATAAGGCACCTGCCGCCCGTGCCGACCCGAGGCCGACACGAATACACCTTGTGCTTTAGAGAGGTTGCCACGCCCTCCAGGCTGCACCATTATTTTACACCTGGATACTCCCCTTGTAACCAAGGGTTAGGAGGGGTCACAGGATAGAATGAAGGAATCCAGATTGAGAATGGGCCATCAATGAGAACTCGAGGTGAGCCGTTTCGGGGTCTCAAGACTCAAACCACACTATACCACCCGTCGTCGCCGCAGTGCCACATTGGTGGGCCGCAGCTTCCAGGGTGGAAGGAGCTGAAGACAATGGGAACGTGGGCGAGATGAGGAAGAAGCTTCGTCGATTGCTGAGACTGGAGCAGAGTGGCCACGTTGGATCTCCCCAACACCTACCAAAGAATTCGGAGACAGAGGTGACGACGTGTGGAGGCAAGATTGAGGCCATTAGGACAACTGTGAAAGGCCTCGTTTGGTCCCGGATATCTGACAAAAAGATGGAGACCAAAGTTCACCATATAGCTTTCCGGCTTGCCCGTTTGAGTGATCTCCCTCCTGACATGGTGGCGAAGTCACAGTTGTTGGACACATGCCTTGGTTGGTCAGAAGAGTTGGCTGCGACCCGAGATCAGGAGAAGAAGCAGGTGGAGTTGCCAGTCGCCGAGAACACGGCAGACGAGGATCGCCCGAGAACCGGTGACAGGTGCAGCAGGGAAGACTGGTGTCCGTCCAACCACCGAATGCTGATCCGGAAGGGGTTGTTTCTGATTGGGACATATTGTTCTATGGAGAGGGGGGTGATATGGGGTTGCTCGCCTCTTCCTCGAATCTACTGAAGATCTCCAAGCAGCACACAATATTACAAACGAAGAACTGTTCCGGTCTGCCCACGTCCTCTTCAGAGGCAGGGCTCTGATATGGTACAGGGCTACCAGAAGAGAAGTTTCCAGCTGGGAGGAGCTACGGGAGGAGTTTTTACCGTCCGATTTTGTGAGCCGGCTGTGGGATGAGATCAGGGCAAGGACCCAAGGGCCGACAGAATTAGTAAGCCATTATGAAAAATTATTTTCATCAGCTTCCGACCCCCCCCCCCGCCAGAGTCTGAAAAGTTGAAGGTGGTCCGGAAGAACCTCCTACCTTACTACCAGGAGAGGCTGGTTCTACAGCCAGTCGGCAGCCTCAAGAAGGCCAGAGCTTAAGCCAATGGCATGTAAAGGACCTAAAGCCCCACCCCGGAAATCAAGACACAACAAGAAATCAAGGAGTGAAGAAGACAAAAAAAAAAGGTTAACCTTTTTTTAGGAGGAAGGAGTGAAAATGTTACAAGCGAAAATGGGAGGAAAAAAACTTTTTTTGCACTGGGGTCACCAGATCGGGTGCCCTCGGCAAGGTTGAGCAAGGCCTGGAAGAGGCCGAAGACGCGCGGGTGGCATTTGGAAGCCGAAGGAGGCCCAGCCAGGGCTCAGCGGGGAAGCTGCTGAGGAGTGGGGCCCGACCGGCGTGAACAAGAGGACTCGAGCTGAGACCGGTTGGTGTGGACGTGCCAGGGGAAAAAGTGGGAAAAAAACAGGAACGTGATAGTGTTTTATTTAATTATTTTGGGACTTTTTCTCATTGTCGTGGAGTGGAGGGTTCGTGTGTGCGAGGGGAGAACCGCTCTGGAACGAGAAGGAGAAGAACATACATGAGGTTCGAGCTTTTAATTTAGAAGACTTGTTTTATTGATTTACTTTTTTTTTGTTTTACATTTTATTCACAATACAGAGGAATTGATATTTTACTTTCTTGTTGTGTTTTTTTTTTATCTTGTTATTTCACCCCGAGGGTTTCACTGTTTTCCGAAAAGAAGGAAAAGAAATATACAGTGTGGCACCCGATTATTTTGCTTTTGAAGACGAAGCGGCCATGGAAAAAATCTCCGTTGAGCCCCAGGTACCCAGCGACCGGGTGAATTGCCAACGATCCAGCGAGGAACCGGTAACAGTAAATTCACTACATGCCCTTTCCTTCTGTGCAATGGTAGCCAAACTATGTAAGCTGACCCAGTGTAACTGAAAATAAGGAAGGAAAACTAATTCTGGGGCTGAGACCATTAAGGAAGATCTTGCAGACCAGGGGAGGATGGACACCTGAAGGAATGGGCAACTTGTTCCTTGTTCAACTTGTTCAGCGAGATTGACAATTCCCTGACAAAATATGGGTGGCCTTCGATAGATTGAAGGTCTGCCCTTTATTGCTACAAATGCCAATGGCTTTAGCAGGAGATCTGCGAGTTGGTGCAGCAACCCTTCCTGCTATCGTTGTCATTGTCGGTGCTCCATTAATGATTGGGGAGAGCTCATCAGGTAGACGAGTCTCAAGGTATGAAGTGAGACCTCGTCAGGGGAGATGAGTCAGATGTCGTTGTCACACACGGGCACGTACTCTTCGGCCAAAACCCGCATATGTGTCCAGCATGCAAAGAAAGGTTGTTCGAATACCATCCGATTTAAGAATTGTGCTAGAGTATTTGGTCCCTATTTGATTCTTGGAAGAAGCAGGGTTAACCTATTGTATATAGCTCAATAGTTATGTGAATGAAATATTTCTAAGTATAAACGTATGGTGTGAGAGGATCGATGGCAGAATACCAAGTACCCTATCATCCCTCGATTAATTTAGTTGTATAATATCTGTAAAGGTTGATGAAGGAATATTAATTACTTTACCACCCTTGAATAACTGTATGTAAATAGAAGTGATGGATAAGACTGAGTTCTGGCCTTGAACTGCCTTGGATGGTGATTCTTGAGTCTACCAGCAATTTACTGTAAACCTCAAAAGATGGAATTGTCGGTGGACTAGGAGAAGCGAATAGTCTCAACTCAGCACATGTTTGCATATCTGTACATACATGTGTGGATTTGAATCTATATAAATCCAAATCCAAAAACTTTTTGCATTAAAAATTGCTAATTGTAAATACTTTCTAGCATTAAATTGCTGTAATTTAATTTTATATACTGATCGCATCACCATTTTTTTGGTCAAATATTTTTCAGCAGAATTATTAGGTTTGTTTGGGAACAAGCCCTAAGATGACCTAAAAACATTAAAGTTACAATTTTTATTTTGCTCTGTTGTTATCATTTTTGGGTACATTAAATGTTCTTTTTGTTGATGGTTCTATTTTTATAAACACATATTAAATAAGAAACTAACTGGAAACTAGACTACTATAACATTTTTTTAATGTGTGATGGTAAATCTTTTAATGATTGAGAAATAATTGACTCTGGCAGCAATCCAGTGTTAACAAGGCGTCAGGCATCAAATTTTTGACAGGCAAGGGCTAAATATACACTCACTCAGTCCTTACCTTTCCAATCAGTACAACACCTGGGTTCTGATTTTGTATTATTTTTGGCTCGAAATAAACTGGGATATAAAGAATTACTAACCATTGGCAACTGAAATATTAGCCAACCCTTGGAGAGCAGCTAAGCCTTGGAGGTTGGCCGGATTGATGTCAGCAAGGCTCGGGTTTGTGCCGTTCAAGGCAGCAAGATTCTGTAGGCCTGTAAAGATAATTGTTATTTGTAACGGTGATATTAATTTAAGCTAAAATAAGACATTAAAAAAAAGACATAAAATATGTATAGTGTAATGATTTGCCTTTATTTTCGTTTGTTTGACTTATTTTTATATTTTAATATGTTTACAATAAATCTGCGTTTTTTTTGTTTTTTTTTTTGAAGATGGTGTGAAGCTGAAACACATATGAGTGAAACATAAACCAGCAAGAATAGAAGTAAAGTGATTAATGTTGATTGGTTCAATGTATGTGTTCATCCACTCGCAGATTAACACCATCAACTTTTAACTATTTTTTTCTTTTTTAATTTCATCTTATTCTAAAGTCATAGCACATAATAATGAAGAGTTTGTTTAAAGGTCACCGTCTGAATTAATGGTGTGTGCTATTCATTCATATAATATAATTGAATGTCCATATATTTTGCATATTTTAATTGTTATATAATTATAACTGCTGTGTGTTTAAGTTGGGCTTGTAAGAAGAAGTAAAGCTTTGATAATATGTCTCATTTTTTGATATTTACCTGGAGAGTTGTGGAGAAGCAACTGTGAGCTCAGATTAGGTTGGACGTTGTTCGACTGAAGATGCTGCAATATTTGCAGCGGTGCTAAACAAGAGCTTGGGTCATTCTGTAAAACCAATTTATCAAAACAGATTAAGTGTTTTGCACAGTTTAAAAATTGCAGAACGTACCTGCTGATTCACAGCAGTTAGGTACGACTGAGGTGAGATGCTGGCACCAGCGAGATGCCACAGGTTTGCATGCATCTGCTGAAGTCTTTTTTGGTCCTTTTCTTTTTGGGTGTCCGCAAATTTAACAACCAACGGTAATGAACAGCCCTAAAATGATATCGACATGACTCCTCCTTTCTACCAGGATATAAAACAAGTAGATGACAAATAGTATATTACCCTGGTTTTTTTATCCATTAAAAGAAACAAGTTATCTCATTTGATCATCTAGCATTAAGCCGCCAAAAATAGATATTATTTTTTGAAATGTTAAAAATTGTTATCACTGTTTTAAATAATGTTTTTGCTCTTATTGATGTAACACTAAATTCCTCAGTAAATATGGACTATAATAATAAGTATTTGGTATGAATATAATAATTTAATATAATAATATATGAATATAATAATTTAATACATATAATTTAATATATGAATATAATTATAATGGGGTTGTATATAATTTTCAAAATAGGTTTGTACATCATTATTGAAATGTACATCCTACTAAACTTTAAACTTTGTGTACCAAACAATAATCAAGATTAAAAACTTCATTAATTATTTTAACCAGTGCAATGAATAGAAAAAAAGGTATAGATAATTTATTAATTTAAAAATCAACCATCAACTTTTACAAATAGGTAAAATAAATAACAACCATGATATAGTTTTTTTATTTATTTTTTTATTTTTTATAATTCATGATAAAGTTCGAATCACTTTTGATCAAGAAGTGTTGCTGTGCTTGTTAAAATACATATATTGCTTAATATTTTCTTTTTTTATTGTGAGTTGTCTAACCATGGACTGTAAGCAAGTTTTAATTTTATTTGGGCATTCATTTTATCATACAAATATTGGCAAAATCCAGGCTATGGTATTATCAAATTAATAGTACCCATTAAATTCACTAGTTTTCATGGTCCGCTTGACCAATTAATATCATTAAATTAATTAGGGTTTTTAGTTGAGAAGTCAGTGTCACGAGTGGGATTCGAATCCACGAACTTCGGCTACGCCGCTACTCTACCACTTGAGCTAGGTCAAGCTGAAGGTCGTAGGTTCAAATCCCGCTTGCAACACTGACTTTTTTATTTCAACTAAAAACTTTAATTAATTGATTAATAGTTCCGTTTATAATATTAAAACAGTTATAAATTATAGGAAAATTATTTAAAATGAAAATTTAAATTTATGAATTCAAAATGATTTTAGAAAAATACAAAACAATTCACAAGCAGTTCAAATTGAAATAAGTAAAATGTAAATTTTATCTCTTTATTAAAAACTGATTGTTGGCGATGATCAATGACCAAATGAGATTTCTTGTATAAAATGGTGTCGTTAAGAAATGTGGAAAAAAAGGAATTGAGAATTTCACTATTTCTGTTGTGTAAATACTGTTGTGCATTGCTACCTAAATTTATGCCCATGGAGATACAAATATATATATTTAAAAAAAAATTGGTTTGGTTATGAAATAGAAAAATAGACATTGAAATCATCTCAAACCATGAATGATATATTTAAAAAAAAAATTCCCTGGTTAAATAGTAAGTCATGCAACACAATTAAACATACATTAAGCTCGTGACACAATGCAATCTTGGCTTTTGGGTCTTCAGGAAAAAATGCAATAAACTACAACAGTATTTAGCCATGTCTACATAAACAGTATAAACATTAAAACACTGAGTATTACAACACAGAAATAATGAATATTAATTTATCGAAATGAAGAAATATATTAGAAAGAGGGAGAGATCTTGAAAAAAAGGGTAATGTGCTAATAAAGTAGAAATAAAAGTGTTAAGTAAAAAATGAAAAAGAAAGATAGATAAAAAAAAAAAGAAAACAGGTATCATGCCACACTTTTTTGTTAAGAAACATATTGTCTAAATCCACATGACATCGATAACGCAACATATATTACGTTTGGAGAGAGAAAAAAATGTTATTTGTGTTGGTCGGGGAGGTGGGTAAATGAAGGATGAAACAAAGTGTGCCAGATACCTGAAAAGAAAATAGTGTACGACTAGAACTATTAAAGAAGTGGGAAGGGTGAGTGTTTACCTCCATAGTTCTAGAGTGATGCATTGCTTTAATGGCGTTGATGGCACACTGCTTCGAAGTAAAAGTGACAAATGCACACCCTGGGTTCCGGAAACACACATACATAAGCCATTATACAAAATGATGCCACAAATGGAACCTCTAAGGATCATAACGGTTTAATATAAAAAAAAGAAAAAAAAGAAAAACTCTATTTCATTATCAATATATTACTTATTTTTTAAACTAAAAAATGCATGAAAAATAGAGTTTTTGATTGATTACACATACTTTTCAGCATATTAGTCTCTTTTTATACATGATCTCACTTTTGTGCATTTAAAGGGGAATTAATACATCCGCACCTCAGGAAGCTTTTTTAAACTTAAGATACTAGGTTTGTCTTTTATTTGCTAAAATTAAAAAAAAAGTGTATTATTAATAAAAAGCTATTATAAAGGGTTGTTTGTAATATGAAGAATATGGTACAGTACACGGTACATATAATATAAACATGAAACATAGAATTGTCGAACAGAAGTCACAATATTACTCTGACAAATTAGAATAGGGTATCGACAGCCAATAAGTAAGCTACACATACTGTTAGCTGTGCTCAAAATGGATGTAAATAAAAACTAAAAAAAAAATTGTTACAAGGTAGAACTGTTTTGCTGTTTTGTGACAAGTCTCATTCAGAAATAAAATAGTTAAAGGTGAGCCAGAACAAAACTACAAGTTAAAATTAACAAGAAATAACAATCACTGAATCTTGGTTTGAATTTGATAATGAATCTCTGAAGTCTTTATTACAATTAATTAAGGTTTTTAGTTGAGATAAAAAAGTCAATGGCACGAGCGGGATTCGAACCACGATCTTCGGCTTGATACCCTGCTGCTCTACCACTTGAGCTATCGTGACCTCGATCCACTCGGTCACCAACTTCCCATCTCAACCCCACCTTTTGAATTTTCCCTCCTTTTATCTATATTCCGTCTTTATTTATATTATAAAAATTTAAGATCGTAAAAAAGTCATTTAGTTTTTATATTTTACTAAGAATCATCAATACTTCTGGTTTTGACATAGTGTACAGAAGAAGAATTTATTCAAATCATTATTCCACCAGTTAACAAGTTCTTTTTATTAACTACTGTTCACAGAAAAAAATTAAGTTATAATTTTCTTTTTAGTTTGTGTGTTAAATGTTTGTGTCAGTGACACATTATTGAGTGACACAAATGATGTGACAGTGTAGTGGTTTAAAAAAAAATAGTTTAAAATATATCGTTTTAATAGTAGCTAAAGAAAATTTTGGTCCTTTAAATTGTTATTTAATGTCACCACAGTATTGCAAGGATTATTATTTGATCCGAGTTAATTTGGTGAATAGAGGAACAAAGTTTCCCTAAAATTTAAGCCATTTTGCAACAGATTTGGCAATTTTACTAGTAGTAATACTATTTTTTTAAGCTTTCATTTTTTTTTTAACAATTTGAACATTCCTTCCTAGTGCACATACAATTTTTATTAAATCCATCATTCTATCGGTTCAATCATTAATTAATTATTTATAATACATATATTAATTAGTTTTTCAGTCCAACCTTTATAGAGTAATATGGTTGATGAAAATGATCAATATATATATATATATATAGCAGTTTTGCTTGGCTCACCACGAAAGTCCATGTACCAAAAAAATTTATTATTTTGTCCACTTCCATTGGGCCTGGTTCATGTCAGTCGAAAACAGTAGTGTTTAGAGTATTCATATCAGGGCATCACACAAAAATATTAGAAAGTGTATATACAATAATATGTGAGTTCCCGTCAGTCAAATTGGTCCTGAAGGGCTTACCTTTACTCTGGCCAGCAGTGTCTCTTAAGACGGTACATTCCTCGATGGATCCATACATGTCGAACATTTGCCGCACATCATTTTCTGAGTATTTCTTGCTGAGCATCCCAACGAAGAGTTTCCTCTCTGAAACAAAAAGACATAAAAAATCAGTTCATTTAACAAATACCAATAAAATAGGCAAAAAAATTCAAAAAGTCCTTTAATAAGGAGAACCACAAAAGCCAAAACTCAATGAAACGCCCCTCCTTTTTGCCATTTTCTAGTCTTAATTTTATGTGTATTATATGATCTATTCGTTTGGAATGGGCTGAGTAAATAGTTTATACTAAAAGAAACGAATAACATTGGAAAAACTCCGAAAAAAGCAAATCTGCAAAATCCAAAACTAAATAATTTACTTCCTTTTTCCACTGTTATCAATATTTTGTGCATATTATTGCATATTAATTGCAATTCGTGTGAAGAAGGCTGAATAAATAGTTAAAGTTAAATACCTAAAGAAAGGCATAACAAATTGAAAAAGTCCTGAAATAAGCAGATTTACAAACGGACCCATGACAGTGGAATCCAATGGGAGATAAAAATACTTTATTGAATATACGGATGCCGATTCAAGATGATGCGAGGTCAGGTTTATAAATTCAAAAAGTGAAGTTGTACAAAAAAACACTCGAAGTAACGTGTGGTGATTAGTGACCGTTAATCGATAATAATTCAGAAATCATGAGATGCGGTCTGGTGTGATGTCGGTTTCAGAAAAACATTTCCTCAACAAGGCACGCAAAAATGGTACAATTACACAGAAGACAAACACTTTGAGTGAGTGGAAATACTTTGATTGAATATAAAAAATATATTTTTCATTGTATAAATTCACTTTTTTCCACATCCTAAATGTATTTGTTAAATGTAAACAATGTTTGTAAATCCCAGGCCCTGAAGATGATCTCCATAAAGATCGAAATATTGGTACGATAAAGAAAATGTTTTTCTGAAACCTACATCACACCAAACCGCATCTCACGATTTCTGAATAGTTAAACTCGAAGTAATGTTGTTACAAAAACAAAAAGGCAAGAAAGAAAGAAACGGAACAGAGTACATAAGTAAGAATTTCGACGACTCGCTGAAGAGGCTAGAATAACTAGACGTTGAACCGAACCGCATAACCCAAAAGAAAATGGCACATTTGTAAGGAAAAATAGGACACTTTTAGATACGGCCCGATGTCTATTGATAGTCTGGGCTTCCTCAGAGTTTCAGGGCAGAAACAGTAAATACTGCGAATTATTTTCGTAACGTTGCCTTTCAGAACGATTAGCAGGAAAAACATCTTCGAAGCGTGAACGGGAAAGAAACCTAACTTTAATAGTCTGAAGATATGTATTCTGAACAAAAGTCTATTGAGCAGATAGGATACAAGGGAAAGGAAAATCAGAACCTAGAAGAAAAGAAGGCATATTTTTAAAATACTCAGAATATTCTAAAGGTTACAGGGTATGGATCATTCATGATAACGTAGAAATAAGCCGCGATATAAAATTCGTTGAAGAGATCAAAAGTATAGACACAGCTAAATACATATCAATTTTGGAAGGTACTAATGAAAAGGAAAACGAGCTGTGAGAGGAAATATCATAACGACGTTAGACGATGTAGAAGAGAATGACGCTAAGAGGAAAATGGTCGAGAGGATGGGGCTGAAAAGGAAGGCAATGGAGGGACCGCTCAAACAGAAGCAAGAACCTAAACACCGAAAAACCGGAAATTGAGGAAGACGCAGAAAAATATTCAATGCGGCCAGTAATGTTAAATGTGGTATAACATGCGAGATTCCAGCAGAACATGCTTTGACGGGGACTGCTGCTGACGATTAGTTCCGAGCTATAGCGGACGAAGTAAGGTCAAATGGAGAAATAGTTATTGGATGCCGCATAATACTGAGAAACAAATGCAGAGAAGACGGAACCTTAGCAAGAAGAAAGGTAAGGTTAGTAGCAAAAGGATGCGGTCATGCAGCATAAAAGGGGCGTGTTGGAAGAGGCATAGTATGCTTAGGTTGGCGACTCGAGCCTAGTGAGTAGACCATTGGACAACGCTAGCGTCGTTGTGTGCAGTTAGTTGTGTTGATCTAAAGTGGCTCCATACATGTGGGATTCATCGATGCCGAGCAAAGGTTCGCCTCGAAGGTCGTGGGTTCGAATCCCGTTCGTGACACTGACTTTTTATCTCAACCAACACCTTTCATAAAGATTAATTAATTGAAAAAGTTAATTGGTCAATCAGACCACGAACTGTAATGGATTTTATATTAAACTGAAGTACATCTTCACGAAAGCACTCCGTGGCCATTTCATTTGTCGCGAAGAATCAAATAGATTATATGACATTTGAAAAATGGCAAAAAGGAAGGAAAATTCGAGAGGTGAGGTTGGGATGGGAAGTGTCCGAAGTCACGATAGCTCAAGTGGTAGAGTAGCGGCGTATCTAGCCGAAGGTCGTGGGTTCGAATCCCGCTCATGATACTGACTTTTTATCTCAAACAATACCTTTCATAAAGATTAATTAATTGAAAAAAGTTAACTGGTCAATCGGATCACGAAATGTAATGGCTTCTATTTAATCTTGTTTATTTTTCATTAATAAACGATTCCTAACTAGTATAGATGTATTAATTTACACGATAACAACATAGCATTGTTTTTGTCAGGATTGGATTGGCCAAACGCAACAGTTTTGGAGTTCCTCGATATTTCCTCCTATATAGTTCCTCCTTCGAATCATAAAAATCGAAACGAGGTTTGCGATGCGTGGAAACGCATCGAAAGTAGGATGGAGCATCGCTACTCTGTGACTGATTAAAAAAAAGAAGGATTAACTAATCTTTTGGAATCTGCCTTAAAAAAATCCAGGAGAGTGTCAAAAGCGGGGCAGGTGTCGATGGCTTAGTGAAACCATCTACCATCTCCTTTTCTTACTCTTTTCTTCTTCAATCAATTTGTAAGCCACTGTCCAAAACAGTAACCGCAGCTGAAGTAAAAACAGTTTCACTGCTGGCCACTACGATTAGTAGTAAGTTGAGGACTCGCACGGAACTTCGTACAACAAATACGTATTCGCTGTTTCCGCAACAACTCGGACGTTATACAAACCCCGCATGTGTGTATATGTAGGCACGCTATTTGGCGAATGCCAAGACGAGTATCTCTCTGAGACGTGGCAAACATTCAGCGACAATCGGCATTCGGCGAATACCGCATGTCTGGAGCCACCTTAAAAAAAAAGTCGCGTGTGATCGTCCCGTGCGTAGTAACTCCAAGTATTGTCTTATAATTAGTCTGTACCTTTGTTTTATCCAAATCATATATAGCGATTACCAAATCGATATAGAAAACTGGTTTCATAAAAGCCTACTTTCTTTTCGTACATCTAATAATTAGAATAAAATATTTACTGTAGGTTTAACATTTCATGAGATATTTAGGAGCTTTATAGAAAATGGTCAAAGGTTGAAATAACATGAAAAGTGAATATGTCAAATTAATTTGCTTAATAAATGATTTGATATGATTGATATGGGTGACCATATGGCCCTAGGCTTAGTGGTCCATTTTTAATTATCTTTCACTAGTAAATCATTTAACTCCTATTAACAAAAAGTTTACTGTTTCGAATAAATAATCAACTGGCGCTTTATACTAATTCAAGTCCTACCTGCACAAAATAAGGGTCTTTTTGGAAATAGGGCCCCCCTCATTATGTCATCTTTCTATTGTAGAAAACATGTTTTACTGTTTTTACATATTTATTCTGGGGCCAAAAATGTACAATATCGTTTATTAATTGATTGAACAAATCATTACCGATAATTCTGTGACGCCACAGAAATTCACACAAATATGAGTCTATCAAACTTCGTCTGTACCATGTTCTTTATTGTTCCTTGGTTTTGCTTGTGCCCGAAACGAGTCGATTCGTTGAGTATGGCTACGTGTGATGGGATCAACGAAATTTTTTGAATGATTCACAGTAAAGTGTTTGTAATTTTTTCCTGGTGTCTGTAATGCCGGTGTAGGATGCCCACATGTCCGATACAATGGTTGTACCTGGGTGAATACATTCTGATATTGTTTTCATTAGTGTTTCAGATATACTGTTTGACTTGAAGCATTCATTATCTTCTCGACATATACCTCCGAACACCCACTGATTAGGATAAATTCTACCAACGAGAAAAACTTGATTCGTCTATCTCAACTGTTTTACCCGGCCCTCCTATCTTTCTGAATTTTTTTAACAAATGATCTGCGCAAACTCTCTAAACATATTTTTCCAATTTGTAATAATATCGGTAGCTAATCCCAGTTCCTCTTGTCAAAATTTAGTAGTTGTATATTCCTTTGTCCAGCAGTATAGCAAAATCATAAATTTATTAAATTACTACTAAATGTTCTCCAAAAATGTACCTTTTCTTAATCCAAACGTTTGTTTGCAGGCTTTCACGTTACATCTCCATCTTTTCTCCTAGATACAGTCATTTGATGGTCATCAGAATAAACTCTTTCATTGTGCACAATCCCTTTACACTGAAGAAAGGAAATCGCTCTTTCCTTTGTATCTACTTGAGCTACTACATAAATAAAGGCATGGTTTTCTCTTTTTTCGATTGCAGGGCCGCTGGGATTCGAACCCGGGACCTTTACCTTACAGTGATGAGCGCCGTGTCAACGCCTAAACCTTTGCGGCCACCTACGCACCCGGTTTTCTCTTTAAGAATAGAAAATAAAACTTATATTACAAATTATCGAGACAAAAGTAGATATCAGTTTGTTGTCCTTCTACAACAGATAATGAGGGGTCCCTATTCCCAAAAAGACACCAAAATAATTTGAAGATGCGCCCGAAGGCTTTGTCCAAAAATAAGGTGTGCGGAGGGTGTATTGCTCGTACGACTCAGTGACGCACTAACGACATAAGGGGTTGGGGTTGGAAGGTCACTTAAGGGCGCATTCCACCCTTATCTCGTTCAAGGGCAGATTTCCCGATGCCCCCCCTGCTCGAAAATTCTCTGTGTATCGCACCGCAAACAGCCTTATCGCACATCCGGAGTATGGTTTTACCTC